CAGCAGGAAAATGTCCATTTTGTTCAGCAGAGAGGTGATGGATGGATCCTTCTCATAGCTGGAGGCAATCTAAACAGAGACAATATGGTACACGGTGAGTATCAGTGTCATTCCTTCCCGCACGCCTGCGCTCCAACAGCTGGATACAGAAGCAAGTCTGGCTTTCAGGGCAGGCAAAGAAGAAACATTAATTATCTGCTGCCCATAACTGTTCCTCGTTACACTTGGAGCTTGGTGATGGATGGATCCTTCTCATAGCTGGAGGCAATCTAAACAGAGACAATATGGTACACGGTGAGTATCAGTGTCATTCCTTCCCGCACGCCTGCGCTCCAACAGCTGGATACAGAAGCAAGTCTGGCTTTCAGGGCAGGCAAAGAAGAAACATTAATTATCTGCTGCCCATAACTGTTCCTCGTTACACTTGGAGCTTGGAGAGAGCAATGCATCTAGTTTACTGTTTTATTCAGAAGACAGGAAGTTCACGGAGGAGGGTAACAAAACTTTCTCCAGCCTGTCCTAGAGAACGGGCCAAGGCTGGCACTAAGATTGAGATGGATTAGCCCAGTTGGGTCTACACAACTGTGCTGCTCTTCTCTGGTAGCTTAGTCATTTTCAGCAGAATTTAAACGCTCGTTTATGTAGAGCTGGAAGTTTTGGCACTTTTGTTGAAGGTAACCAAGGACACAGTGTTTCTCTGTGTCAGCAGACCAAAGCAGCTAAAACTAATCTCAAAGTCCTTGTTTATTTGTATACCTATCAACCCTGCAGTCCTCAACAATTTCACCTGAGCCACTACATTTTGTCTGCCTCAACTTCTCCAAGCTGCTCTAACAACACACAGCATTTTTCAATTCTTTGTCCAGGCAGCTGAGATATTCTCTATAGAGTCCGATGTTTTAAGAGGGGTGAAGGAGTTAGCAGAGCTGGCTAAAGACATACAGGTGTGATACACTTTTAAACAGTCAGAGGCATTCCCAAGAGAAAAGAAAAATCCATCACTGCTGAAGCGACCTTTTTAGCTATCCATATTGCACTCGCTTGAGTAACCCACTCTCGGGAATGGATACCGGCGTCAATCCAGATTGCAGGACGGTTGCTTTCTCCAGTGCTGAACTGTCAAACAAAACAGAAAGTTTTAAAACTCTCACCGAGTCCTTTTAGTCAAGAACATCCCATATAGACTGGGATGCTTTGGACTGAATTGTGCTGTATCTCTAACACATGTATATAGAATCCTAGAACGATTTGGTTGGAAGGGACCTCAAAGATCATCTAATTCCAACCCCCCTGCCAAGGGCAGGGACACCCTCCACTACACCAGGTTGCTCAAAGCCTCATCCAACCTGGCCTTGAACAGTTCCAGGGATGGGGCA